CTTATGCGGTATCAAACAGTGCAAATAACATAGTTATGCGGCTATCTAAGCCAATTTAGAATTCTGGTCGCAACATTACTGGAGATAATTGGTTCACAAGTGTTCCACTTGCCGTAGAATTGCTACAAAAGAAATTGACGTATGTCGGAACTATGCGTAAAAATAAAAGGGAGATACCTAAACAGTTTGTGGAAATTAAAAGAAGACCACTCAAAAGTTCAGAATTTGCATTTACCGACAATATGACAATTTTATCTTATATACCTAAGAGAAATAAAAATGTAATGATGTTATCGTCAATGCATTTAGAAGACGATTCTATTGATGAGAGCACAGGAGATAAGAATCTTCCAAATATAATTACATTTTACAACCAAACCAAGTCCGGCGTGGACAAGGTGGATGAGCTATGCGGTTCATATTCCACTGCCAGAACATGTCGAAGATGGCCATGTGTTGTATTTTTTAGAATGCTCGACATAGCTGGCATCAATAGCCACGTTATCCACACTGCGAATAATATTAACAACAAAACAATTGAACGGAGGATTTACCTGCAGGACTTAGGGTTCGATCTTGTGAAAGATTGGTTGAAAGTCAGATCAGCTAACTCACACATTCCGCGTACAATACGTGAGAAGGCAATAAAATATATTGGAGGCTCTACTGAATCAAACGAAACAACAGAACCGCCCAGAAAAAAGGCAAGGTGCTCTATTTGTCCAAGGAAAGATGACAAAAAAACAAACTTTTTCTGCGAAAAATGTTACCAACAGATGTGCCTAAATCACATGAAACATATTTGTGAAAAGTGTTTTAACCAAAAGCAGGAAGAACAAGAATCCGATGATAGCTGCTAATGAGTTTTACTTAATTTGTTTATAATAACTTTTTAGTTTTATTTTTTAACTTTTATAATATTAGTAGGTGTTAATAAAACATGTTTTTTTATATTTTTGTATTACTCAGCCTATTATTTTGTTTATAAACACGTAGATCACAGAAAAGTTTTAAGGGGTACTATGAGCACCCCACGTGGCAGTTGACGTTTTGCAAAGCCACGTGGCAGGTGCCGGGTTAATAAATATACTAAGTCAACAGCATCTTAAATCCAAGCAAAATTAGTATGATTGAATAGGTATATTAACATAATTGTAGTTTCGCATTTAATTAATAAATATTCTAACTTTCACCTTTGGTTAATTATCAAAAAAGTTGACGCTGACGTTAAAACAATAATTAGGTAGAAAATTGAAAAACGTCAACTTTGTGTCAAGTAACCAGAGGCGGAGGTTTTAATATTTATTAATTAAATATGAAACTAGAGTTCTAGTATTTATTTAATTGATTTTTCAAAATGAGCTTAAACTCAAATAAAATTAGTATAGTTACATAGGTATTTTTAATACCTTTCGAACGAAGTATCACTTGTCATAAGGTCCTATTTAAAATTATCTGTCACAGTGGCACGGTACCATAGTGGTGAAATAGTGGAAATCATAGAACAAAGAATAAAATATAAAAACAAAAACGCAAATAAGTAGAGACAAAAACATAAATTAATAAGGAACAAAATAAAAGAGTCTAAGGAAAAGTGGATGATGCAAACCAGCATTGAAGTGGAAGAATTGCAGAAAAAGCGTGATCATTATAATTTATATAAAAAAAGTAAAAAAATTATCTCGGAAAATTCTGAACAAATACACCTAACCGATTAATTGACAAAAACAGTAAACCTGTTAATATCTCAATTGAAATAAAATAAGTACGGACCAAATATATTGAAGATCTTTTCATGGACACAAGAACAGAACCAACACAAATTGATAACGAGGAAGCTCCAATAATATTAAAATCTAAGGTCCAACATGCTATAAACAACTCAAAATCTGGTAGAGCCCTTGGGCCAGATGAAGTACACATCGAACTGATTAAACTTATAGACGAAGACAATTTAAGTGCACAAACTATAAGTACTCTCTAACAACATATACAAATCTGGTGAAATACTTACAGAATGGCTGCTATCAACCTTTATTCCGCTACCAAAAACCAAGAACCCCAAACACTGTAATGACTATATCACTTATTAAAAACATTTTTAACGATTAAACATGCAAGAATATTCAGAAAATGCGAAGCGGATATGGCTAATAAACAGTTTGACTTTCGTAACGGCTTCGGAACAGTGAAATCTCTGTATAGTTCCACAACTCTTGCCCAAAAATGTCGAAACAAACAAAAAGATTTTTTTGTTGTGGTTATAGACTATGAAAAAGCTTTCGATAAAGTTAAACATAACATTTTCATGAAATGTCTAAAGAGAAAAGGACTCAACAAAAATAACATTAACATTGTGACAGTGACAGTGAGAAATCTCTATTGGAACCAATAGGCTGTGGTAACATTAGATAGAAATAACACGGATGCGCAACAGATAAACCTTAAAGCTCCGTTATCTAACGTTGTCAGCAAGGCCTTCGTTTTCCTTTTCCTATATAAGTATATGTATATATCTATATATATATATATATATATATATATATATATATATATATATATATATATATATATATATATATATATATATATATATATCTTATTCTTTTTTATGTACCATCTCCTCTAAGGAGGTTGGTAATCATCAAAGCTATTTTTACTTTTGAGACTGCAGCTCTGAACAAGTCGACGGAACTGCAATTATACCACTTTTTCAGATTGTTGAGCCAGGAGATGCGTCTTCTTCCAATACTTCGTTTTCCCTGCATTATGGTTTGTAGCAACACATATTTATCCCCTCTCATAACGTGGTCGAGATACTTTAACTTTCTCATTTTAATCGTATTCATGATTTCCATTTCCTTTGTCATCTTTCTGAGGACCTCAACATTTGTTATTCGGTCTACCCAACTTATCTTTAATATTCTTCGGTAGGTTCTCATCTCGAATGCTTCAAGTCGATCGCTCACCTCTTTCTTTAAGGTTCAGGCCTCCACCCCATACAGCAGCACCGAAAACACTTAAGAACGTAATATTCTTATTTTGAGTTGTAAACTGAGGTCTCTAGTGCATAAAATTTTTCTCATCTTATTAAACGTTGCTCTAGCTTGTCCAATTCTCATTTTTATTTCTTCTGTATACTCGTTATTTTCATTAATAATTGTACCAAGATATCTGTATTTTTTTAACGTTTTCTATTGGAACTCCTCTTATATTTAATCTGTCTTGTTGTTGTTTTTTGGAAATTGTCATAAATTTTGTTTTATTAGCATTAAGCGTTAGTCCGTTTTCCTCACTAGCATTTACTACATCATCTAAAAGTGTCTGTAGATCTTGTATATTCTCTGCAATTAGTATAGTATCATCGACATATCTGATATTGTTGATGGGTCTGCCGTTGACTAATATTCCAATTGTTACATTTTTGAGTAATTTTTTGATTATTTTTTCCGAATATAGATTGAACAATAAGGGGGAGGGAGAGTATGCAACCTTGCCTTACGCCTCTTTTTACCTCTGCTTCCTTCGAAAGTTCTCTGTCGGCTCTGACTTTTGCTGTTTGGTTAAAGTAGAGATGAGTTATTATTGTTAAGTCTTTTTGTCAATGTGTTTCTCTTAAAGTAACTGTATAAGACGGTTGTGTCGGACCTTATCGAACGCCTTATTATAATCAATAAAACAAACATAGAGTGGTTGGTTTACATCCATACACGAGGACCTTAAATCAAAAAAATGCCTCTCGTGTAACCATGGCCATCCTAAATCCAAATTGGGTTTCAGTGATGTCTTGTTCCACTTTTCTAAAAATTCTGAAATGGGGAATTTTTAAGAATATTTTTAGTGTTTGATTTTTTAGACTAATTATACGGTGATCATTACATTCCCTTGCATTAGGTTTTTTTGGTAATGTAATAAATGTTGATTTAAGCCAATCTCTCGGAATAATACTTGTATTATGTATAGTATTATATAAGTCTACTAATACATTGATCTGATCTTCTGATATTAATTTAATTATTTCAGTTGGAATTGTCTCAGTTCCCGCAGTTTTATTAGATTTTGCCAGATTTATTGCATGTATTATTTCATCCTTAGTTATATTTGGACCTATATCATGTTCCTCGCAATCGTTCATTCGTTCAATCGTTCCTCGCTATCTTGTTGTGTCCTGTCATCCTCAAACAATTCTTGGACGTATTCTTCCCATCTGTTTAGTTTGTCTTTTACATCAGATACTATTTTACCATTCGTATCAACCAGGGTGTTATTATTGTTGGACCGTCTTATACCTAGTTAGTTCTTTAATTTTTTTATGCACTTGCAAAACTGTCATGATTTCTCTGGAATTCTTCTATCTCAAAACATTTGTTGTTGTACCACTTTTCTTTAGCTGTCCGTATTTGTATCTTTATCTCCTTGTGTGTGGCTTTGTATTCGTTTACATTTTTGTTTTTGTATGATCTTCTTTTGTTCATTAGTTGCCGGATCTCATCTGTCATCCATGGAGTCTTAGCTTCATCGATTTTGTGACTACTCATCGCATTTTTAATTGGCATCATTAATGTGTTCCTAAATTTTTCCCATTTTTCGTTGGAATCTTCATTATCATTGATTATTGTTTTGCTTAACTCCTCGTTATTTTTCAACGTTAGTTCTCCTTTTGTATTCGGGTGTTTTAGCAGAGTGTTTATTTGTTGTGTCTTTTGTTGTTTTTTTTTTTATTTTCTTTAAGTGGATTTCGAATTTTACGATTACTGGATTGTGGTTTGATGACACATCTGTTCCTGGATATGTCTTTGCCGATTTGATGGAGTTACGGTATCTCTTATTGATAAGGATATGATCTATCTGGTTTATGATCATTTTTTCTTTGGATATATATATATATATATATATATATATATATATATATACATCCAAAAATTTATGGCGTGACCACATTATATATATTTATCCAAAACCCTTCTGTAAAATGATCGAAAAACAAAGTTCATACTCACTAGAAACAAATGTTTGTAGTTCTTTCTCTGTTAGATCTACGCCAGGTCTTTTAACAACAAATGCGAGCGGGAGTTCGCCTGCGAGTTCGTCTGGAGCTCCCACTACTCCTACGTCTAAAACTTTCGGATGATTTAATATCACAGCTTCTAGTTCCGCTGGAGCTACCTGCAATTTGGAGAAAAAGTTTTTGTTACTTCTAACAGAAATTATTTAACTATATATGGTTATAATAAAGAACGTTATTGCGCTTGACTGATATGTATTTAATCCAGAAAGCATTCTTTAATTTAATAATTTTAATAAAGGAACATAAACATGGTAGGGGCTTATTAGCATATAAAAAGAACGTTAAAAGATTGAAATCTAAATTAAAAATCGCTATATGAAGAGTGTCGGGAGAAAACCAAGAATGTCACACAATATTTTATTGAAAAAAATTAATTTTACAGTTAAATACCGTGTAAAAACTAAAATATGTGCCTGATATATTATATTCCAAAACATGTATCATTAATATTTACTACTAAAACCTGGTACCTAAAACTAAAACAATGAAACCGTTTTTGTAAATTATAGGAAAATCAGTCAGTGTCAATCTTTTATGAAAGAAAATCATTAAAGTCCAGGTGCGTTTCTTTGCTGAACCAAACGTTTCTTTATTATAACAGGCTGAAATTTTTCAAGATTTGAATTCTTAACAGTTCCTTTGTTGTTTTTTTTTTTATCTTCATTTCATTAGGTATACTCATGTACATTTCTTTTGCTTGTTCAGATTCGCAAAACTTTGACAAAAACATTATGTCTTTGAACTTGCCTTCCTTAATAGCAATAAAGTTGAAACATGATTGCATGCGTAGTTCAAATTACGAAGGTGACAATTTATTCGACTTTTTAGCTTGAATGGAAGGACGGATGGGGTCCTCAAGTTTGCTACCATTGTATGAATCTCGGTGAAATACAGTGCGAAGATAAGTATTCGCACACATCACCTTTTTAATTTTTTGCATAGCAAAAGGACTTTTTTGACATATCTATCGTTAAAACATTCAGTCCATCCCTTGATAAAATACTAAGATACTGAAATTACATTAAATGATGCAGGCTTTGTGTGAAAAGCTATAATATTTTCCTCCCAATCAGCAGACGTTTCCCTTCCATTTATAAGGTTAATACGGTCCATATTTTTATCGCACTTAAGGTACCAATAGCCTCTAACGGGATATGTTATTGTAATGGATTGAAGACATTTTCCTACTGATACCATGTACTGAATTAACCTTACCACTGTATAGATTTTGTTTTGTACACCTGCTTCGTCACAGAAAATGTGTAGATGTTAAACAATTGGAGATAAATGATGCACGATAAAATGAATGTTAAACGAGTAAATCGAGAGCTGTCGACGATAATACACATCATTGATGGAGATATTCGGCAATTAAAAATTTGTTTGGAAGTCCATAGCGAAAGCTTCATAATTCTTTTCTATTTGTGTACTGCTTTTGCTTTCCTTTTTCCTGTCATAAAATGCTTGAACACTACGAAGATGGAGCTCTCCAAGTGCTTTTAATTTGGTTATTTTAATACGTCCACTTTTCTGGTTTGTTTCAGCTGCTTTCATTGTTGTAGTAATTTCGTCACATTGACTGTAGGTATCCAATCGCGGATAACCGAAACTAATGTTATATTTTTGTCTTAAAATTTCTCCACAACTTTGATAAGAAATTTAAACTTTCGGATTATTTTTCTTTATACAGAGAAAACATTTTCATTATATTTAAAGTTTCAGGTAGGTAGGTTTTATCTTTATTATTATGTAAGCTATAGTGACTACTTCTGGACTTAAATGACTGGATATGCTCATGATCACTATTAACACTACTCGGCTTCAGTTTGTTATAATCTATTCCGCGCCTTTTATCTTTTGGGGCCGTGCCTGACTGCTCTTTCTGTAGATGTTGAAGTTTTGCCTCTGTTATACCATGAACTACACGAAAAATTTTTACTTTTCTCATCCTTAGCATTAGCAGTTGATCTTGGCTGAACTCTGATCCTGTACATACTTGGCTGCATCATGAAATAATGCATCATGTATATTTTTGGCCCTAGATCGCCGCCTCTGTACGTTTGCTAAGGGTAGGGGTGGATGGGGCATCATGGACCATGGGGGTAATGTAAACTACATCGGTTATTTTGTTTAAAATTGGCAATACTGCATCTAGTAACTACTACAAATATGCGTAGACATCTTATCTACTTTTAGTATGAGTTTGACCGCACGAGGAGTACGTTCAGACGTGTTATAATTAAAAACACGTATTTCGTCGCTGCTGATCTAAGGAATTTACTACATTTGACTAAAGATTTCTCGGTAAGTAGACATGATTATTTTAACTTTTTGATACTGTGGTGTTGCTTGTAAAATGTGCTTTTAATAATTAAGATTTGCTTTTGATACGTTGTGAACTGGTACGTTAATTTCCATATTTTGAATGTGTACTATGCATGGGGCAACGTGGACTAGGAGTGGTTCACATTGCCCCATTATATTTTCTTTACACTTTTTTAATTATATGCTTCTTTTGCAGTTAGAAATGGTACGAAATTATGTGAGGAAAACTGAGCAACAATCCTGGTCTCTTGTTGCCTTAAAGAATGCTATCCGGACAGTTAAAGCTGGGGAGATAGGCTATTTAAAAGCTAGTAAAGTTTATGGTATCCCGAAAGCAACGTTAATTCGCAGATGCAAAGAAAAAGTAACAAGAATTTCTCCTGACGAAAAGGGTCTAGGTTTCTACAAAACGGTTTTTACCGAGGAACAGGAAGAAGAATTGTATAATTATATCTTAGATATGGAAAAGCGTTTATACGGAATTACTTTGCTTGATCTTCGTCACCTAGCTTTCCAGTTAGCCGAAAAAAATAACATATACCATCCACACACTTAATAAAACAAACAAACTTGCAGGTTTAGATTGGGCGTACGGATTTCGAAAATGGCACCCAGGGCTTTCATTACGTAAACCCGAATCAACATCTGCTGCAAGAGCTGAAGCTTTTAATCGTTACAATGTAAAACAATTTTTTGATCTGTAGAAAGCTACTTTGGATTCTAAACATGTCAATCCAACGCGTGTTTTTAACTGTGACGAAACAGGTCTAGGTACAGTCCCCAAATGTAATAGTAAAATCTTGGCGCATAAAGGACGGAAACAAGTTGGACGGCTTACTTCTGCTGATAGAAGTGGAATAACAACAGTCGTTATTTGCATGTCATCATCAGGAATCTTCATACCGCCGATGATGTTAATCTTTGCAAGAAAGAGAATGAAAGTCGAACTCCAAGCTGGTGCACCTCCAGGTTCAATATTCGCCTGTAGCGATAGTGACTAAATAAATAGTGAACTCTTTTTAATATGGTTTCAACATTTTCTTCAACAAACGAAACCAAGTAAAGACGATCCGAGCTTATTGGTTTTGGATGGACACAGCAGCCATACAAAAAACATAGAAGTAATTAATTTGGCTAGGGAAAAACATGTACATATAATTTGTTTGCCTCCACATTCCACCCATCGAATGCAGCCAACCGATGTTGGTGTCATGGCTCCTTTAGCACGATATTATGATATGGCATTAGAAAAGTTTGTTAATGACAACCCAGGCAGAGTGGTAACAGCTTTACTAGTCTCTAAAATTTTTGGGGAGGCTTTTTTACAAGCTGCAACACCTTTGACTGCTATTGACGCTTTTCAAAAATGTGAGATAGTACCTTATGATCCCAATATATTTACAGACCTCGATTTTGCACCATCTGCTACGACTAAAAGAGATTTGGAGAATAATAGTCTACCAGTGTCAAGTCAAGATGAGGTAATTCCTTCAACTTCAACTGCAGAGCCTCACTTAAGTCAAGATGAGGTAATTGCTTCAACCTCAGTTGCAAAGCTTCATACTGGTAACGATTTTCAATTGACAATTTCCCCTGCACACAATAGAGCAACAACTTCATTTGGAGCAAACAGCCCTAAAGACATTCGTCCTCTGCCAAAGAGAAGTAAATTAATGGAACCAAAGAGGAAATCTAAAAATGGTAAAACGGCTGTACTGACATCTAGTCCGTATAAGCTAGAATTAGAACTTGAAATAAACACGAAGGAGGCAATAGAAACAATGAAAAAGGAAAAAGCTAAGAAAAAAATAAATGATGATAAGCACGAAGATAGTGAAAGAAGTAACAAAAAAATAAAAGTTTGTCCTTCCAAAGATGGTAAGGGAAAGAAAAAAAATAAATTTAACCATCAAGTACAAGATGATGGCAATGGTGAAGATGCTGAATGTTTTTACTGTAACGAGTGGTTCTCCTCATCAGCCAATGAAGAAGGATGGGTACGTTGCTCGGCCTGTCTGAAATGGGCTCATGAAGCATGTGCGGGAATAGATCCAGAAGATGATGAAGAATTTCAGAGTAAATTTTGTATTTCTGAATAAATATAACATGTGTCTATTTTTACTAATGTTCTGTTACCGGTTTTCTAAGTATTTTTTATAAAAAAATTCTTTTTACTTGATTTTATTTACCAAACATAGCCATTAGATAATGAAATAGTGTGACTTTCCTCAGTAGTTCACATTGCCCCACCCTATATTGAACCCCAATGTGAACTTTTGACATATAGTCAGTTGTCATTTTTTTGTTGAAAATACGTTAAGTAAATTATGTTTCAATTGCAACTAAATGACAGTTAAATGTTTAATGAACGTCCCTAATTAATTAAACAAAACAAAATCATTTCTGGTTTAACAGTAGGTGCATATCTTCCTTAGATGGTTCACAATGCCCCATCCTCCCCTATAAGAAAGCACAAATACGCATTTTATTTAATATAAGATATCAATGAATTAAAATGATTTATTATTCTTTGTCTATTCATTTCATTTACTGTGTGACAACACTTCAAGCGTTTACATTTGCAGAATTCACCAAACTCATGTGACTGAAGCTTCATGTTTTTCATGACTTCGTATAACTAACCTGTCCATTTTTACTCTCTTTATACTGGATATGTTTCCAGTATCTGCCAGAATTGTTTTAAATAAATTAACCTAAGCAGTTTAGGCGCGAACACGCACTGTTTTCTTCCTTATTTGAAATGTTCAAACAT